ACCATAAACGTAAGACTCATCGATGCTTCTGGCATGCGCAGTTTACGTTTTCGCCACACACTTTAGTGCATCTGTTTGCATGCGTAGAGATCAGTGTTCGTTCGGTGCACAAACTTCCTAATTTTGAAACATCGGTTTGTTTATTCACGGATTGCTGCCTCCCTACAACAACACCGCGAATTTTCTTTCGGGAAAGGTTCAATCGCTTTCTCTTGCGAAGCGAGGCAAGCTTTTCCACGAATCAGTGACATGGATAGTTTTACAACAGGGATGCCTTGTCCCTGAATTCATTTCTGACGATCTTACAGGATTAACCGCAACTTAAAATGTTTTGCGGCACGAAGAAAAAATGTTAACAGAAGCCGAGACAAAATAAATTAGCCACATTAGTTCCATTTTAGGTTTTTAAAGTAAATAGACATCCAAATAGATACTTGATGTTGAAAAACTAGCTCGTTTAGCGCTATAAAAAGACTAGGTTTAAGTTCAAATAATCCTAAAATGTTATACATTTATCCTTCATTTAGGTATCCAGGAAAAAAATAGTTTCTACCCTAAATTCGCGGTCTAGTTTTTTGAAGTAGTTAATTTAGATTTAATATTGTGTTTCTGAGTAAATTCAGAAATTCAAAATTTTCCAGTGTGTTTTTCACTGCGTTATGCGCATGTAGAGCATGATATCAAGGTCAACAATACGGAGTGTCAATGTGCCCGGATAATGCAATAGCGGCCAGCAACCACATTAATATATTTTCGATTGTAACGCTTGAGGCCTTGACACTCCTGTGATTAAATACATGTCGTCAGAACTGCAATGGGGAGACTGGTATTCTGAAGGACGTGCAGACTCGGCAGGCGGTCCCTATTGAATCGCCGGTAAAAATACATACTACGAATGTAAAGATTTCGTGAAGTTTGACGTGGTTATCGTTAACAAAACCCGATTCCAGTTCAATAAAGCCATCACCTAAAGCAGGGCGCTAGAGAAACATTCCCGACTGGTTCATGATCTAAACAGAACGATCCAATACATTGGATTATGAATGCATTCCGAAATTACGATATCATTTACCTTAGCACATTATTATATACATTCCTCCCGATGGTAAGTTGAATATATCATTTTATTAATGTAGAGAATATTGTAATATGTAAGGTTAGCTAATAAAGTCCGTTTAAATCTTATAATCCATTATGTTCGCCGTTTAAACAGTGACATCTTCAATATTCCCATCATGCAAACAAATGCCACTTGCGTGGTAATATCAATTATCTGGAATAAAAGTCGTACAAAAAGCTATGAAACTCACGTCCTTTCACTTTTTCTTCCATTCATTAAATCGTATTTTTAAGAGGGAATACAGATTGGGATATTGCAAATGAAGAGTTATTGTAAAGTTGGAAGCTGACTTGACGCGAGGCTGAAGGAATGAGCTCTGTGCTCTTGCGAGCTGACCTTCCCCGCCTAATCTGCAACTACTAGCTGTCCCACATACATTTACTCGAAGTGTCCATTGGCAAAAATTAAAACATCCATACTGAGCAGTAAGGAAAAACAAATCGGCCAATAAAGTCAAAGTCATCAAATTTGTGGAATTTATTTTTTCTTCACCAATATGGCCTTTCTTACCGGGAGTACTCAGGTGCCCGCCGGCTTCAAATCCTTCTTTTTTAATGATGTCACAGTTTCGAACAGATACTACCAGTATAGTTCTACCCGACAAACTGGCTGTTATTGCAGCGTGTGTTGAGAGCACGTCAAGGAAATTTCTTTTCTCGTCATTTTTTGATAACAACACGCTGTAATTTCCCCTATTTCATTCGTGTATTGTTTTGCCTTACACTAACGACAGCAAGACATACCGCGTTCCGACATAAAATATCGCTAACAAATAACCATTACCAATTATACGCCATACCTCTGTTACCCAAACAATAAGCAACACTCTAACACAACAAAAACACGTGATGTAGAACGCTGACCACGAGCTGTCTGTGATTCTTGAAGCAACGCGTGCGAATTCCCGGCTCAGTAGTTGAGCAGTTCGCATAGTTGCTCTGTTGTACAGCTATGGTGACGTATTGCACGGAGATAAGCGGCAGACCACCCTGTCTCCCGCGTTCGCCCCCCCCCGCGGAC